GAGCCCCAGCCTCCCTCTCCTAGCTCCACCTCCCATGAGCCTACCTCTCCTAGCCTTGCCTCCCCCAACCGTACCCCTCCTAGCCCTATCAAACCCCACCCACTTCTTCAATCCCCAACTCCCAAGCCCACTTCTCCTAGTGCCCCACCCCTGCTAGCCACCCTCTCCTAGTGCCCCACCTCTTGCCAGCCCACCTCTCCTAGCCCTGCCTTCTTGCCCACCTCTCCTAGCCCCGCCTCCCACTAGCCCACCTCTACTCGCCCCATCTCCCCCAGCCCACCTATCCCAGCCCTATTTCCCGTCATCCCATCTCTCCTAGATCCGCCTCCCCAGCCCACCTCTCCCAGCCCTGCTTACCATTTCCCGCCTCCCCGTGCTCACTGGCCTTAAGTAAATCCACTTTTGATTCAGTTTCAATCCCATGAGCAGAAGATAGTTTATTCGCTATCTTCTGGTTGCAGATCTCAAACAAATACAACAAATGTTGTTACTGACATTTACCGGCATTGAAAAATGCCAATAAAGGCATTGTAATTGCGCTTATCAGGAAAAAATTCCAGTTCATCGGATTGGATCTCTCCCCACATTGGTCTGGCGAAGCCGAGGATTTAGTGTACGGAGTCTCACTTTGCTCAGCCCCCAACCCACGTGTGCCGGTCGGTTATGGTAAGCACTTTGAGACATCCTCTTCATGTGAAAGCTACTAAAGAATGGCTGCTGATTCTTTTCCCAGCACTCCAGCCCCTGTGTTACCTGCACCGTTTGTCTCACAAACATCACTTGTCCTGAGTGTTTGTGTGTTCTTTTATGTATTATTTGTTCCTTTAGGTCAGTGTGGTCCAATAGGCGGCCCATGGCCGGCATCTGGCCTGAGACCATTTCCAACTTTGGACCACTCGCTGCTTCCCTCCCCACAAACCGTCCTCTCAGGGCAGCGGCAGGAGCTGGTGGTTGGGAGGAACTTGCGCAGGGAGTGGAAATAATACCCCATTTCTGCAATTTGTCATGTGACCCCTGAGTGGCCATTTTCTGCTGCCAGAGTCGCTCAGCTGAGTGACAGAGAGAGAGAGGGAGGGGGGACAGAGGGGAGGGAGAGAGAGAGGAGAGTGGTGGGGGCGGGGAGAGAGGGAGTGGGGATAGAAGGGAGGGAGAGAGAGGAGGGGAGAGAGAGAGAAGGGGAGAGAGTGGGGGAGGCAGGATAGAGGGAAGACAGAGAGGAGAGGGGGTTAGAGAGAGGAGAGGGGAGAGAGAGGGTGGGGGGGGATAGAGGGGAAGGAGAGAGAGAGAAGGGATACAGATGGGAGGGAGAGAGAGAGAGAGGGATAGAGGGGAGAGAGGGATAGAGGGGAACAGAGGGAAGGGGATAGAGGGGAGAGAGAGAGGAGAGAAGAGATGGGGAGAAGGGGGGAGAAAGAGGGAGAGGGGGAGAGAGAGAGGACGTTGGGGAGGGGGAGCGAGGGGACAGAGCGAGAGAGAAGAGGGGCGGAGAGAAAGAGTGGGGGTGCTAGTGAGGTGGAGAGGGGAAGGGAGATTAGGAGAGAGTGGATGTGGGGAGGGGAGGGGTGGGGGGAGAGAGTGGGGGAGAAGGAGAGAGTGGAGGGGGTAGCGAGAATAGGGAGAGAGAGTGGTGGGGAGAGAAGGAGAGAGGGGAGGGGATAGTGAGGGAAGGGGAGAGAGTGAAGGGGGAGAGGAGAGAGGGGAGGGGTTAGCGAGGGGAGGGGGAGAGAGAGTGGAGGGGAGAGGAGAGAGGGGAGGGTAGCGAGGGGAGGGGGAGAGAGAGGGAGGGGAAGAGAGAAAGGGAGGGGGAGAGAGGGGGAAGGGAGGAGAGAGGGGAACCGAGCGAGAGGGGAGGGGGGAGAGAGAGAGGAGGGGGACAGAGAAGGGAGGGTGGAGAGAGAAGGGAGGGGGAGAGTGGGGAGGGGGCACAAATGAGAGAGGACAGAGAAAGTGATTGAGAGGAGAAGAGAGTGATTGACAGAGAGATAGAGAGAGAGAGAGAGATCATGAGGGAGAGAGGGAAAAAGAAATAGAGAGGGGGAGAGAGAGAAACCTAAAGACTGAGAGAGCAGAGAGAGGAGAATTGAGGAGAGACGATTGGAGTGGGGGGTGTGTGGGGGAGAACGAGGTCAGATATCAAGTGAAGAGACGTGCAGTTCCCTCAGAGAAAACTCCCTCTTTCCCCAGTGAGAAACTTCTCTTTGTCCTTCATCCTTCCCCCACCTCCCCCCGCCCTGACCCCATCTCACCGCTCAGCCAATCCTTTGCCCAACAAACACCAACTTTCTTCATGTCCCCCCACCCCATCTGCCCCATCATTGCCATTTTCATGGAGGCCTGTACCTCAGTGGTTGGAACACTCGCCTCACAAGCGAGAGGCTTGGGTTCGATTGCCGGCAGGTCGAAACTTTGGGCAAGTTTCCTTACTCCACACGCCTGATAATAATCCCTCAAGCCAAAAAATAATAAATTGGTCACTTCAATCCATGTGGTTTGTGGGACACTGCTGTGTGTAATTGGCTGCCGCATTTTGCACAAATATATAGTCAATTCACTTTGCAGTATACTCTGTGAAGCGCTTTAAGATGTCTGGACAATGTGAAAAGTGCTATATCAAATGCAAGGATTTTTATTATTATTATTATTTTGCCCCCTCTCTCTGGAGTTCCATTCCCAGATTCTCTCCAACTCGATCCCTCCCTCCCTTCTTTCAAGCCATGTCAAGACCCAACTCTTTGACCACGCTTTCGATCATCTTTTCCCCTCCCTGCCCACCTCCCTTGGCTCCCACCCCCAGCTCAGGTGCCCAACCAATAGTGTTGAGCGTTTTAGACGTTCTTTCAACGTGAAAAGTGTGCTGTGTAAATGTTATGTTCCCCTCACTGAGTGAAACTGCACTAATGAGAATATGCACATGATGACAGGTAATCTCAATGCCTTATTGTGTAACAAAGGGATGCTTTCATCAACATCCTTTGCACTACCAGACAATAATCTGTTTGTATCTCTCCCTCCATCCTTGATCTTTACAGAGACTCGAGAAGCACCGTATAGAAAACTCAACAGTGTTTTACTGGTCCTTAAACCCTATGCCTAATTTACACGAACCAGAATATGACAAATGTCGCAATATTCAGAAATAGAAAATAGCCTGACACTAAACTGTGACACCAGCATCTCTATTCAAAGTTAATTTACAAAGACAAAACAACCCTGACCTGGAGGCGAAGCTCTTGGGTCAGGTATGTACTTCCTTAATGACATACAAGGCGAAGAGTAACCCTGAGTTCAGCAAGCCCCCTTCTTTTATATGTCCTAACGCTGACCCTTCCAATGTATCTCATCCATTTTCTATCCATCTTCCATCTCCTTCCCTTTCAGTGTATCAGTAGGTCCCCTCTAGGACCCACGTGATCCTTTCCTGTCTTTTTTTCAGTGACTCACCCAGGTCACAGACTTTGGGTCACCAAGGCTGTCCTTACTGATTGAAAATTAGATTTTGGTCCCTAGACATTAAAGGCGCTTAAAGCAAAAGCGTCTTGCTTTGCACAAAATCTCAATATGTACAGAATATCTACATTAATAACCCAATAAAAGAGGTAAACAAGGTGACCATGAGAGGGTACTGGCTTGTCCCTAACCTCCTTGGCTCACCATCAATGAGTGTAATTTCAACATATCTGTCTGTCTGCCTCCACTCTCTGGAACACCATCTCATAGTCCTTCTGACTGCCTCCCTCCTTCTCCTCTTTCAAGGTCCATCTAAAGACCCTCCTCTTTGACCATACCTTTGGTCATCCCTCCCTTCCCCACTTCCCTCAGCTCTTTGCCCAGCTAGGAAAGTTAAGAGCCTGAAATATCCTTCCAACATGAAAGGCGTTATATAAATGTAAATTTATATTGTATTGCACTTGTGACAGTAAGTGTCAGCCTAACCTATTCATTTTTAATATATTCTGTGAAGCGCTTTGAGACTTCTCAAAGACATGATAAGGCACTATATCAAATGCAAGGATTATTATTATTATAATTATATTATTATCAGCCAATGTCAGCTTCCTGCAGCGGTCAGGAGCAGAAGCCTGGCTGGTTTAACCTCCTTGTCCCACAGACACTCATGTCAATTAGTAGCCAAACTGCTGCACATTGATTGATTTATTGAAATAATTCATATTAAATGCAAGGATTATTATACTGATTTAATTTTTCTTTTGAAAACGTTTATAAACCTCTTCACATGCTCGTATCTCATCCTCCATCATATCAGCCGCTTCTCGTATCTGCTTAGCAACTCCTGTCTTGTTAAGGTTAAGGGAGAGAAATTGTTTGCTCCAGAGTAGACATTACAGAGTCCTGACAGCCCTCCTGTCGCAGCCCTGAACATTACTATCATCAGTTTGGTCGCTGCTGAGATAACTGTGGGAAAAGCACGCCAGTGCTTGGGGAATATCTCAAAGACAAGACTCAATGCACCTTCTCTTAATATTTCATCATTAAAGAACAGTTTCGCACTGTAGAGCTTCATCAATAGACCTGACATTTCTCTGCTGTCCTTTTTATAACGTTCTATGATTCTATGAACTCTTTTCAGTTTGTCTGTCTGTGTAACACCCACGTGTCTAGTCACATCATCCTCAGCTACACCCTTCCTGCCTCCCAGGGCCACAAGCACCAACCTCGTGCTCAGTGAGAAAGGGGCAATAATTATTGCTGTAATGGAGAGTTGCACTCTACTACACACAGTAATATTCACTGTGGGGTCTTGTTTGGGATAATTGACGATGTCGTCTGCAATCTCTCGCAATCCTCTCACGTGTCCTCTCATCCATTCTCTCCAGACCGGGAAATAGTTTTCAAAAGTTTCAATTATCTTTTCCAGAACAACTTTGTTCTCTTTCCTGTTAATGAGATAAAAAGCCAATCAGACAGAGCCATGTGACAACAAGTGATTCATTCACAATATCCGGCAGTGTATTCAGCAGCTGCCTCACATCTGTACGTACCTGTACTCGTTGTCACTGACTGTATCTGTTGAACAAGGGAGAAACAGGAGCCATTATCACTGGTTATTATCTGGTACCAACAGAGAGAACAGACACAATCCTGACTGATACAGTGACCACACAGGAGGGAATGTCCTCACCACTCGCGGGTAAACAAAGCGTTCTCCCCTCGGCAGCGACAGGAGCAGAGCAGCAATGTGGCAGCTCTACTGCTGTCAAGGTTTGGCTTCTTTCCTGACAAACACAGTGGGTCACACAGGAGCCGCGAGTGGGGAACACTCAGCATTGATGATATTGTGCAGGAGTTTCACCCGAATTTACTTTACAAGTTTCCTTATTCCACACACGTGTTTACCTCGCAGTAAGTAGGAACCCGGTTGTAATTTGATTGGTCGCTCAATCCACGACTATTTGTGGCTCACTGCTGTGTGCATTTTGTGTGCACGTTTTGCCCATAAAAACACAGTCAATCCACTTTATAATATATCCTGTGAAGCGATCCACCAATCGGGCTCCGCCACTGTTAAACACTCCGAGATGCCGTGCGGGGTGAAGAGCTCTATATAAATGCAAATTGTTGTTGTTTGAATGACTTGATAAGGCACTATATCAAAAGCAAGGATTATTATTATTCTTTCAGAGTGTACAGAATTTGGCAAATTGTTGAAGTTGGTTCTAACTTTGAAGCCCATTTTTTCAGTTCTTAAAATAACTTATAGCAACAAGAACAATAAATGATATTTGTATTGTGCCTTTCACATCAGGAGGATGTCCCAAACCGCTGGAAACCCAGCTTCAAAATTAAAGCCCGGGATTAAGAATTTGACAAATTGTGAGCACTCAGAATTTCTGTGTTAAGAGAAAATATTTAGCCCCAAGGCAGGAATTTCTACCCAGTCACTTCTCTCCTCCTAATGTTACAGTGTTACACATCTCTCCCCACACACACACACACGAACACACAGGATTTACTGTAAAGTGTATTGACTGTGCATTTTGTAGGCAAAAGTGGCTACCAATTTGTTCACAGCAATATCCCACAAGTGAATAACTAATTTTTTCTGGGGCATTGTTTTCCTGACCCTGAGAAATTCTTTGCCTTTTCAAACAGTGCCAGTGGAATTTAAACATCCACCTGAACATGGCACAGATAGACCTCGGTTTAATGTCTCAACTAAAAGGTAGCACATCCGACATTGCAGTGCTCTCCCCAACCCTGCGCTGCTCTCGAGTTTCAAACCCGGATGATGAACTCAAAGTCCTGATGTGAGCTACAATCCACAAAGTTCTGAGTTAGAGTTGAGAATACTTTCAAACGAACGGTTTCTCTCCCCTCACATGTAAAGTGCAATCCCTTCTCTTCTGCACACACATAAGAAGATTTATTTTGGTCAGATGTACTCTGCTATCTTCCTGCACCCACCATGAATATTACATCACTGAACCCTGCCTCAGCTGTGCTGTACATTGAAATAGTTGCTGTACCTTCCAGATGTTTATAAACGTCTTCATACGCCATCACTTCATCCTCCAGCACTTTAGCCACACCGTCAATGTGTTTAGCAATATCTGCCCTGGCTCCATGGTTGAGATTATGACGAATGTTTGCTCTGGAGATGAGAGACAACATGAAAGGCAGCCTTGTCTGAGCTGCTGGCCCGGCCCTGGATGTCACCGACACCTGTTTGCTTATTGTTTCAGCCACAGCAGCAAATACAGCCAAGTGTTCAGTGAGACTCTCAGCTCCACCAGGAAATGCGGTTTCTGATTTCTCACCATAACGTTTCAAGATCCGAACTGCTCGTGAGAGTTCATGTAACACTCTGCCATTTCTCTGCTGTCATTTGTATATTGCTCAATGATATCATTAACCCTTTTGCGTCTCTGTGTTTGGGTAACAATGTCCGTGTCACAAGCTGCAGTGTTGTCAGCCCCACCAGCCACACTCTGGCCGACTCCCACTCTCGTGCCTGGTTTGTGAATCGAGTATATATCGTATGCGATCTCTCGTAGGTCTCTGATGTAGCTGATCATCCACACTCTCCACACAGGGAACAAGGTGACAAAATCCTTCACATCCTGCTTCCTCTGTTTAACTTCAGCTTCAAACGCTTTCCTGTTAGGACAAACAAGTGTATAAGGAAGAGATAAGGAAGGTGACCAGTAAGGGACCAACGATCGTAATTGGTGATTTTAGAAATTAATTGGGATACTGATAATAAATCGAAGCTCTCGCAACAATGCTCTGTGGTTATGAGTAGATCAAACCAGATGTTAGAATGTATCAAAAGGTAATAATAATGAAAATAATAATCCTTACATTTGCTATAGCTCTTTCTCAATTCTTCAACACATTTCAAAGCACTTTACAGAATATACTGTAAATTGAATTTAGTGTGTATTTTGTGGATGAATTGCAGCAGCCAATTGCGCACAGCAGTGTCCCACAAACAATAGTGGATTTTTTGTTAAGGAATTATTATTCCCGGAAAAGTGATCCACCAATCAACTAACAACCGGGTTCCTACTTAATGCTAGATAAACAGAGGAGTGTGAGTAAGGAAACTTGCCCAACATTTTGACCTGCCGGGAATCAAACCCAGGTCCTCTAGCTCGCGAAGTGAGTGCTGTAACCACTGAGCTACAGGACTCCAAGAACTCCAAGAATAGCAAGCTGAAATAGCGGGATAATCCTGTCACTGTATACATCATTGGTGAGACTATACTTGGAGTATACTGTGTACAATTCTGGTCACCGAAGTACAAAAATATATGGGAGAAATTGAGAGGATACAGTGGAGGGCAACTAGAATGGTTGGGGGAATGGATGGGCTCAATGGATTAAGAGGACAACAAGACAACAATAACAAAATTACATTTGTATAGCGCCTTTCACATGGCGAGGACATCCCAAGGCGCTGGACAATCAGTTTTTCGGACCTGAGCTGGGGGTCGGGATTGGGGAGGCTGGAGGGCAGAGGGGAAGCATGGTGATCGAAAGCATGGTTGAAGAAGACGGTCTTGAGATGGATCTTGAAGGAGGCAAGGAAGGGGGCGAGGTAGAGGGACTGCAAAATGGAATTTCAGAGGGCAGGGTCAGAGTGACTGAAGGCTCACCTGTCAATGGTTGGGTGGGCGAGGCGAGGGAAGTGAAGCAGGCCAGAGCCCACTGAGCAGAGGGAGCGAGCAGGTTGGTATATGGTAAGGAGGTCTCAGAGGTAGGGGGGCGCAAGGCCATGAAGGGCTTTGAAGGTGAAAAACAGGATCTTGAGCTGTATCCTTTGTGTGATGAGATGCCATTGGAGTCGGGCGAGGTTGGGGGTGAAAGGGTCACAGAGGATGGTGCAGGAGAGGACACGGGCTGCAGCGTTCTGGATGATCTGCAGATTATGGAGGCAGGAGTTGGGGAAGCTGACAAGGAGGGACTTTGAATAGTCAAGCTTGGATGTTATGAATGCGAGTATGTGGGTTTCGGCGGCCTGTGGTGTGAGACAGTGGCAGAGCCGGGCAATGTTACAGAGATGGGGGAAGGCAGAGCAGGTCATGGCATGGATGTGGGGTAGAAAGTACACTTGAGGGTCAAACAAGACACCAGGGCACCAGACTGGCTTATTAAGATGGATAGTGATGCTGTCAGCGCCTAAGGTGTTGAGGCATTGACAGGAGCTAATCAGGAGAGCTTCATTCTTGTTGACTTTCAACTGAAGAAAATTAGCTCTCATCCAAACTTGATGTCTGACAGACATTCTGTCAGCACAGCAGTGGTCCTGGAGTCAAGGATGGAGGCAGAGAGGTAGAGTTGGGTGTCATCCACATACATGTGGAAGTTGACCCCATGTCTGGGGATGATGTCACTAAGAGGGAGCATATAGATATTGAAGAGGAGGCGGACAAAGACAGAGACCTGAGTAACTCCTTATGAGATGGTGCGGGGGCTAGAGGAGAAATTGTGGAGAAGAAGTGGAGACGTTGTGAGGGGTAGGATCTGAACCACTTGAGGAGTGCCTATTGGGCATGTTCACGCTGGAAAAGCAAGATTAGATAGTTTGGTACATATTTGCATGCGACTGCTAGGAAGGTTGAAGGCGAACTAGATGGACATTGGTCTTTTTTTCATCTAGCGTTTCTAATGTTCTCGTGGTCTTATGTAGTTCTCACTTATTCCCACATATTACATGTGACAACATTCCTTCCCGTGTCTCCGGTAATGTGAGTCACACACAAACGCTCACACACACACACTAACACACACACGCGCACACACACACAAACACACACACATCAGACAGTTTATTCAGCAGCTGCCTCACATCTGTACGTACCTGTCCTCGGTTACATTGACTATGTCTGTTAAACAAGGGAGAAACAAGAGCCATTATTATTGGTTATTATCTGGTATTAACAGAGTGAACAGACACAATCCTGGCTGATACAGTGACCACACAAGAGGGAATATCCTCACCGTTCACAGTAAATTTATTTTTGGTGAGTGGGTGTCTGATTCTTGTGGAAACCCAACATCGTGCTCCTGAGTATCCAAACCAGACTGAGTTCCACGTCTGCATGTCACCTTCACCTGGAATTTACCCTGTGTCTAGAATGTGCTCTTTCCCTCTACCTAGAAGGACAACCCCTGCTTATCTAAATCCAGAGAGTACAGGCTGGCAAGGGCCAAGGTTTAGGGACCCCAGATTGTGTGTTGGGGTAATTGCTGGAGTCTAACCAGCTAAAACCGCATAGCTTGCCATTGAGAGCTCTATCTGACAAGCTTTCCCGCTGCTTGTCCGCCTTGGACCACATTTCCCATTAGAGCTTTGGCTTCCAGGGTTAACAGGAGCTGAGTGGGAAGAGTCTTTGTCCAGTGACTGTTCTGCCCTTCCAACTCCTGCCGATGATTGTGCCATCATCAGCAGGGTCCTGGAGTACTGTGGACCCACCTGGCTCAAGAACTAGATGAGATACGGTCATGGAGGACTGGTTCGATTCTGACATTCCGATGCCAGGAACCTCACCTTAGAGCCAGCTCAGCCCTGAGAAGACAGCAGGAGCTTGTTACCTGACTCGCAGTGGGCACAGGATTGGAATAGAAGTTAATACAATATTTTCATCGATTCCAATAGATTAATTACCTGGTCTGGAAATCTGTGCCATTGTGTGAACTCTTCCCTGTCATCAATGATGTTTCTGAACAACCTTTGGAAATGAAGAAAAACAATATGAATGCAATCTCTCCTTATCATCCCTTTCCAATCTCTTCCTGACAATAACCACAGTCATTCTGTCAAAGGCTCAAAACTCGTCTCTTCACAGCTGTTTGTGGGACCTTGTTGTGAGCAAATTGGTTCCTATGTTTGGATAGGAACTCCTCAATCTTCCTCAGATTCACCAAACCAGTGCGCCATCTAGGCGTCCAGGTCGACCCACAGCTTTCCGCCCCCACGTCCTGACCAGGATCGCCTTCTTCCACCCCTGACACATTGCCCACCTCCGACCATATCTTACCCAAAATACAGCCAAACCCCTTGTGCATGCATTTGTCACCTCCCACTTGGATTACTCAAATGCGCTCCTCGCCGGTCTCCCCAGCTCCACCATTCACAAGCTCTTTCAAAACTCTGCCGCCCACATGCCGACCCGAATTAAACTCCGTACCTACATCTCACCAGTTCTGACCCGGGCTCCACTGGCTCCCCATCACCAAACGGATCGACTTCAAGATCATCACAATTGTATTCAAATCCCTTCCCTTCTGGCACCTCCCTCCCTCTCTGACCTCCTCACTTCCCAATCCATCACCCAGCGCCTCTGCTCGATTGACACCATCCTCCTGCTCTTCCAGCACACTCTCCGCCCCACCATTGGAGGTCGTGCTTTTAGCCACTGAACCATGAAACTCTGAAACACTCTCCCTCAATCCCTCCGCCTTGCCCCCTCTCTTCTCTTTTTCAATTCCTGCCTGAAGACTTTCCTCTTCGACCGTGCTTAAGGACACCTCCTCCCATCGGCTCAGTGTCAGGCTCCGCCACAGTTAAGGGCTTTGAAATGCTATCCTGTTGGTTTTTTTACCACCTTCACTCCCACCATTACAGATCTGTGTATCTGCACCTATGATCTCACTGATCCTCAACATCATTTAAAGTGTCACTTGTGATGATTATCCTGATCCCTGCACTGAGAAACAGCTGTTAAAGTCTAGAATTGAACTATAAAATAATTTACCTGTGTGCTGGAGCACTGGTTGTCTGGCGAGTGTCTGTTGACTGGTGAGATCAGCAGCTGAATCACTGTGTGACCTGAACAAGTTCCTTGAACTCTTTCAGTTGCTGTAACTTGTGAGTGTTTGCTGTGGTTGGATTCTATTCCAGATTGGCACATAGTGTTTCAAACAAGAGCCTCGCCACATGTCTACCTACCATTCAAACAGATTTCACCAACTCATAAAAAATAATCAGAGAAATTAGAGAGACAGAACCCAGCTCCCAAATCAAGATTATATTTCATTTTGTTTTCCACATTCCACACAATCTTACATTTTACATTCTCTCAGAATGTTCTCAGGAATGCCATGAACAAGCTATCAGCACAGGCAGAACGGAAGGAAGCTTCTAAAAGGACCTAGACAGATTACTG